TAGAATGAGGAAAGGACAGCAGGCCAGAAGCAGAATGGTGCATTCAAAGAATGGGAAGCATTTCAGTATCATTAAAGCAAGGTAGTAAACAGCAGAGAACATGGCAGACAGGACACGGAAAACCTTCCATATTTCTGTATTTTACTCCATTTACTCCATTAACATTTATATGTTACCTGCTTTACATTTAAGCAGGTAACATATATGTCAGATACATATGATTCACAGATCGCTATTACTACAGTGAGAAGTTGAGTTGACTTACGAAATAAGTTAGGAAGAACAGTTAAGAATGTTTTCAATAGTCCTGATGATCTAGGGCAATCATTTTAGGATGGGGAGGATGAGAGGAAGTAAAACTGTACTTAGGAGGTCACATCTGCAAGATACAGAGATCTGGATATGGTACTGAGAAAAAAGAAAAGGTTTGGATTTCAGCCTGGGGACTTGATAAAATGCTGTTATTACCTGAGATCATGGTACACTCCAAAAGAGTAGATTTTAGGGAACAGGGACATAATGAGTTCATTTTGAAACATACTGAGCTTGCACTGCCTATGGAATTTGTAAAAATGTTAATATTAACTACATCAAGAAATGAAAAAAAAAATCTATGTTACCAATTTTTATATTAAGTAATCCATTTTTAAATATGTTTGTCATTAATATTATGAAGACATGCCCTCCACTACACAGTCATACAAATCAGTGATTTGAGAGTGGGGAAACAAATACAGAGAAGTAAAAAATTATACCCCCGAAAAAGCTATGAAAAGAATCCACTCTAGAAGTCATACATGGTCTGGCTCTTCCTTTAGCAAAAGAGATATCTGAGTGCTTCTCTAAAGTCCATCTAGGTCTGGAACAGCAGTGTCTAAAAAATAAACAGGTATTCCAGAAATGGAGCTGAGCTCTTACCACTATGTATTTTTTCAAAACTAGGAAATATTATGAATGTGTGAATGAGGGAAGAGGCCTGTCTCTGCCACATAAACAACGCCTTATCAAATTATTACAGAACATTTATGACTAACAAATATTTCAACACTACAGAGGATCAGGGTGTGGAATTTATTTTTAAATCGGCAGTTTAAGGTCTTCTTTAAACTCACAGTTTAGGATGGCACAGACTTTGTGTATTTAAGAATGTGTATGTTTTAAATAATTGATAAACTTTGTATGTTGATGGCAGAGACTAGAACCTCTGCCAACATGCCTATACTTTACATCATACACTTTAAAAAGTATCAATGATGTGTCGAATAATCAGCATCAGAGATACATAACTCTTGCCAGATTAACTGCCACTGATTAAATTCCAATTATGTGCCAGAGACGGAGTGAGGCACCACCATTCATGTATTATCTGTAACTGCGCTGAGCGGATCATTATTATCAGAGCTCACATAGGAGAAAGCTAAGGTTTAGGTAACTTGCCTCACACCGCACAGCTAGTAGGTATGCAAACTAATTACTTCAGTACCCTTATGAATCACTGTTAGAGTTCTCATTTGAGGAAAATTTGTTACATTTTCTAAATCATCAAATCTTAATAAAGTTTATAAAAACTAGCCAATACACTGCAATGAAATAAAGTGCTGTCATATTATAGTCATTCAAAGACCATAACTCCTCTCCTGGTAGACTGTAATTTTTTAAAAGCAGAAGTCCTTGACTTATTTATACATCCTAGCTCACCAAACTATTTCATGCAGAACAGAAATTCAGTAAGTGTTTAGTGAATAAGTAAATGAGTGATAAAGTTTGAATTAGCGTATGCTCAAACAAACATACTGCATATTTAGCTACCACTTACCTATTCATTCAGTTAGTATTTATTGAGTACCTACTGTATGCCAAGTACAGTTGTTGGCACTGAAGATATAACACTAAACTAAACAAACTACTGATTTTCATACTTTTACAGTATTTGAGAGGAAAAGTACATGTGATTTTGCAACTATGAGACTTAATAATAAATTACCAAAAAAAAAAAACTACAAACAAAAATAAAAGGAGTTGATTCCAGATTCTTAAGGGGGAAAAAAAGGTAGTAATGCATCCTCATCAGGTAGGATTTATCTAAAGAATACAAGGATCATTTAATATCACAAAAATCTATCAGTGAAACTCACCACATTCATGAACTAAAGGATAAAAACCACAGGACTGTATCAATCTATGTGGAAAACAAATCCAATAAAATTCAATACTCACTTATGTTTTTACAAAAAATATCAGGAGTCTAGGAATAACTAGATAAAGAGTATTTACCAAAAATTTATTGCAAACGTCATTAATGGAGAAATTTTAGATACCTTCTGTTAGAGATCAAAAATCAGACAAGGATGCCTACCATTATCTTCCTGAACAAAAAAGTAATGATGATCCTAGTCAATACAATAAGACAATATAAAAAACAATGAGCTATATGAATAGAAGAAAATAAACAAGTCAATATCTGCAGATCAACTACACAGAAAATCAAAATTATGATCAACTATACAGAAAATCTATCATAAACCAAAAAACAAACCATAATAAAAGAGTTGAGCAAGGTTGCCAGATTTAAGTTGACTTACAAAAGTCAAGAGCATTCCTTAACATCAGCAATTATTAATTAAAAAGGAAAGCAGAAAACAGCAGCAAAAACTGTATTTTGCTATTAACCTTATAAGAATCCCCAAGACTATTAACTTAAACAAAGCTTAGTAATTTAAAAATAGACTTTTCTCTTCCACAAGTAGCATGACTCAGCATGATCAGGTTGTTAATTCTTCCCAAAATTTACCTATAAATTCAATCAATTCAAATCAAAATTCTACAAGAAATTTTTTAGTGAACTCAAAGATTCTAATATATATAGAGAGAACCACTAAAATCTACTCCTAGAACTAAGATTACACTAAATCACTCTATGTTAACTAACTGGAATTTAACTAAAAACTTGAAAAAAAATAGAAAATGAAGAAGAAGAAGAAGAAGAAGAAGAAGAAGAAGAAGGGGAGGAAGAAGAAGAAGAAACAGGAATAAGAGGAGGAGAAAGAAGAGGAAGAAAAGAAGAAAAAGAAAAGAAAATGATTGTAGAAAATTATTCTTTCAGAAGATAAGCCTCAAGGAAGTCATAACCTTAAGGTAGCCCCAATTTATTTTAGCTTCTTTGGGGAAAAAGGTACGGAATCCTTTCCATTAAAAAAACAAAACCTACTTATACAGACAGCTATTTTCATATGAAGATTCATTCTATACTTGAATAAAATAATTTGGTTTTGAAAGGAAGGAAGAAATGAAGGAAGGAAGGAAGGAAGGAAGGAAGGAAGGAAGGAAGGAAGGAAGAAAGAGAAAATAAAGGTTCATAAATAGTGGAGGCAATTTAAAGGAGAAGAAATGAGAAGGGACCTGTTTTACCATATATGTGGATATATCACAAAATCATATATACAAGATGACCAATATCAAGATGTGATGGGAAAAATATTAAAGGTAGCATAAAGGGAATACCCTATAACCTTCAATAAAAGAGAGTTGTTGTTGTTTTTTAAACAAGGCTTAAGAAATACAAACTATAAGGTTAAAATTGATGGACCTGGTTACATCAAAATCAAGAATTTCTGCTTGTGAAAGATAATTACACATAGTTTAAAGTCTGGGGGGCAAACTGGAAAGAAGACACTGGCAACATCCTAAACTGTCAATAGCTATAACATATAAGGAACTTCTGAGACTTCTCTTTCCAGCAAAAAAAAAAAAAAAAATCAAAATAAGAAAGCCAATACAAAATTGAACAAAGGTTAAAAATAGGTGTTTCAGAGACGAAAAATCTTAAATGATTAGTGAGTCTATAAAGAGAAGCACAATGTTATCAGTAATAAAAGAAATGCAAATTAAAAGAAAGAGATATCCTTCAATATCTATCAGGTTAGTAAAAATTAAAAATTATTTAAAATAAGGATTATATATATACCTCGGACTTATATAAATAATGATAATAGTGTGTCACGAACTAAGATGTATATGATTTATTTAATTCTCTGTACATGAGATTGAAAAAAAATTATCTACTTATTTTAGCTGTCTTGAGACAACTCAATCTGTATCTTGCTCCATCTTTATATGATAAGGAATGTTAGAAGGAGAGAAGGAGTGGAGAAAGGAAAAAGAAAGGAAGAGGGAAGAGGAAATCAGAGAGCAAGGAGAAGTAGGAGGAGGAAGGAGAGGAGGGGAGAAAAAATTAGCAAGTCTTTTCTCAGACTAATGGAAATCTCCTCAAAGTACTCTGGTCGTGAAGCCCATAGACCAGTGTCTCAACCTGTCTGGAGTAATGACTAAGTGATACTATATTAAACATATGAAGAAGAAAATAAATAGAAGACTGGCAAAAAGACTCACTCGATCATATTATAAAATAAGCTGATAGAGTCGTCATAGAACTTTGTTATTTAAAAAGATCAATAATGGACTTCTCTCATCAATCTTTGGTGATACTTATTAATTTTTTGATTGTCTTTATCTATGTGTCTGCATATAGGTGTACTACCAAGATGGAGAAAGAGTTATTTCTTATAATACCATTAACACCCATAATAACTTCCCCCAGAGAGTTTCCTCTTTGCCTAGGTTTTATAGGACAGAAGGAATAAGTGTCATCAGGAATAAAAAAATAAAGTTTTCACAAATATTATTTTGATATAGAAAGACAGGCTATTTTTTTTTAAATAACACCATTAAATTAAGAACAGAAATCTGTGTATATGTGACTATTTCTAGGTATAATTTTATCATTTTGTGATAGAAATTGATGTTATTCACTTATATCATTACATGGCAAACAAAAGATTCAAGAAGAAAAGAAAGGATAATTTTTTTATAATTAATACTCCTTAAATAATAGTTTCTTTTTTCTTACTCTTAATAATAAACAGAAAAACTATCAAAAATAAGAAAGAAGATTTTTGAACTCAATGTACATCTTTATTAGTCAGAGCCAGAGAAAGACTCACCAGGACAGAATATATGTGTAGACATCGATAAACAGGAGAGAAATCCACCAAATCCTGGGCTCCAGGTACCTGCAAAACAAGCAAGACCGTCAAAACTATGAAAGCAAAGCTATGAAGAACTTTGAGCTGCATTCATTTTTACTATTCAAGTATAAAAAATAAAAGCCAGTTCTAGTTTCTAGGAGAAAAACACAGAACAAACAAACAAACAAACAAACCATGCTCCCAGAAACCTAGTTTTGGTATTTTCGACATGGGATGCATAAACCGTGAAGATGTCAGCAAGGCTGGGACACACAACAGAAGGATGAATAACAGCAAAGAGTAACAGGTGCCACAGGCCCTGCATCTGCTTTGAGATACATTTTAGGCTTCAAAAAGGAAGCCTCCAAAGAGGAAGAGAAGGATGTGGGAATGTGACTTTGACAACGTGACTGCGTCTTCTTAGATCCATGGCGGTCTATCTAAAAGACTAAGTTTCAATGGTCAAAACCAAAACTTGCCACACAGGAGGAATTAAATGACCTTCCAGCCAGCTTCTGAAAGGTGTAAGAATTAGTGAGTATTTACATCAACATGCAATCAAAATACAGAAATATGCTAGAAAGAGAGGGGAATCATGTAAAAAGTAAGATAGTAAGTGGAAAAAGCCAAACCTAGAATACCAGAAAATTACAATTTGAACAATGTAGACAGATTAAACTGAGACATCAAAAGACAAAGTGAAACAAACAACATGAGGTAAGAACTGGAGATAGTCACAGTGCTAAAACTGTTTGGTTATGTGACCTGACAATGAGTAACTCACCATTTACTTTGGCCTCAATTTCCTCAACTGAAAAAGGAAACTATTCCCTATATTGCTGACCTACAGGAATTAAACAAGAATAAAAGGACAAGAGTAAATACTGAACAAAACAAAATAAAGCAAAAAAGAAAAGACAAAATTGCAGAAAGAAATAATGAGAATAAAAGACCTAGCTGTAGTTTCTACAGCAACACTGGTAACTGTAGGATTCATCAGAATATAAGCAGCAGGCGTGTCTACACTGGGTTGACCTGACTCAATTATAAGGTCATTTTCCCTCAGTCCATCAAGCAGGCCTCATTTCTTCCTTGGGAGGCATAGCGTCCTTCACCAAGATGTTTTTCCTAGTGAAATCTCACTCTACAACTGGGCAGCACAATAGCTACTTTCCTGTCCCTCCAAAACCATCCCCCTCTACATTTATTGGTTCCACTTCTTTGATTATTCCGTTCATTTGCTATATACCCATGATAGCATGCGCGAAATCTCTGTTTAAGAACCTCCCGGTGCTAGATACTCTGTAAGAGCTCAAAAACAAAACAAAACAAAACAAAAAACTCTTGATCCTATACCATGGCCCAAACATAGATTTATTAAAAAAAAAAAAAAAAAGCCATTAGAAAAGCTAGTGAGCATTACAAAACCACTGAGAAAAACATTTTATGGACAGATAAACACCATGCAGTTAAAAAGAAAAAAGATTAAAACGCATGTAAAAATTGTAACTTGAAGAGTACAAAAGGACAATAGTTTTCATCTTAACACAAAAAGATAAGAGGCTTTTATATTAGGCACTCTTATTTGAAATGATCACAACATTAGAGCATCTTTACAGTCTCCCCTGTTGAGTTGCAAAGTAAAGAGGTGAAGGAAATTTATTTTAGCTTGCCAGAAAAACAGAGCCTACTAGTGAAAACTTCAACTAAGCAAAATACAAGTACAAAAAGTGAAAAATACAAAAATTCATAAAATTATATTGATAGTATTTTAACTACATAAAAATTACACATACATATGAAAAAAGAAACATAAAAAGGTTTTGATCTTTGTTTCTTTTACTTAGAATTAATGACGATAAATAAAGTTATTTACTGAAAGTTTAAGAAAATTTAAGTAAACTCAATCACAGCTTCATTCCCATGTTCTTCTTTATGCAGTTTATTTACTTTGTTTTGCTTTGACTCAGAACCATGAGTTTCACTCAAAGGAAACTGCTCGTAAGCCATTCCTCAGACAGAGCCGTGGCCCCTTCCCACGTCAGACCCATCCTTACAGAATGAACATCCACATTAGGAAAGAGTTTCCCTAAAAATCTGTGATGAATAAGGTAGTAGTACCCCTTGCTAATGGGCTAAAAAGAGAGGTTTATCTGGGCTGACTTAAAAAATACAGATATATTTAGAGAGGACAAAAAGGTTTCCCTGTCGTCTCCAACAAATATTTACAACCAAACCTAGTCTCTGTGAGGCTGTCTTGACAGCCTCATCCTCAGCTTCAAACCATTTAAAATGCCCTGACCTGGAAGTATTGGCTTTGCTATTTCTTAGCCTCTGCCACCATAATCCAGTTAAGTCTCCTTAAGCAAAGGACTGCCTGCTTTGCAGGCAGCCCACAGAAATCTAGATGAGAAAAGAAGCAGTCAAACGGGGCTTCAGTTCACAAATTTTACCTCGACCCCCAAAGTAGTCTACTATTTAGAAATCCTTTTTCCTCCATGCTCCCTTCTGCGAGGAACGCTAGGAGCCCTGCGAGGAACCAAGAAGAGTGCTGTGAGGAGAAAGGTATGTAAAGCATGCACTGACTCATGTTGCTTTGAGCTAGATGTGTTTTCTCTGCTTCTACTAATGAAAAAGAATCACATCAACAGAAAGGCAAAAGAAGGAGAGCAACATACGCTATACGTGAAGGAATGCCACACGTTTGGAAGGATAAGAAATGAACTTTCAAAAACCTAAAGAGACGGGAGTGGGAAAGAGAGCCAAAGGCCGTTTCTCCTGACTCACATAAATAGGTTTGTTTTAAGGGCCACATTTTGCTCCCCATTTAAAAGGCACAATCTCTGTCAAGGTTGTCTTCATTCTTCTTCCCCCTCCTGTTTGCCCTTCTTTCCCCTCAAGTGCAAAGAATGATTCAAGCAGGGTTAGGTTTCAGCTGGGGCAGAGGGAAGGGTCCAAGGACACTCTCCTAAGCTAACAATGACTGTCCCTAATGGCTTCTGTCTCCTAACAAAAGCCAGGACTCCGTCTTTATCAGCTTCATCTAATTTTTCCTTTCCAAAGTAAATAACACAGCCCTTGCATTTTACACATGTCCAAGTTTGACAAATCATTATCGACTGGGACTATAACTGATAAGAGATAACTTTGTGGTAGGACGTTGTCATTTCCTCTCATAAGGGCTTTCTTTCTGAGATACAGAAACATGATTAAAATAGTTAAACATTTCCTCTGCCTGGCAGTCAGGAACTCAAGACATTAAGATACTGGAGTCTGTATTTTTCTAGTTCAAATAGATCTATAGAGATACCAACAGCAGCCACAAATAGTATACTCAAGATTATCCTGCTTTTTTAACTAGTTGTTTTCCTTATGAACTCACAGGAAATAATTTCATCACCAAGGACAGCAGCTGCCTAATTCCCCATATAGTTTCTGAATGGAGAGCCTTAGTGCTTTCTGTCAACTCAAAACTCTTTATTATCAGGGAGGAGCAAATTGTAGGCAAGATTTTAGGTTCTGTAACTACCAAATCTGTGCCACAGAGCATGTTATAATATTATATGTTATGATATTAAAATAACAGATAAATAAAAAGCCATTAAAAGATTTTAGGAGTGGCTGGACTCCAATAATCAGAGGTAGATATCATGAAGGCAAGGCTTAACATTCTACAATTACACATTCACACACCAGTTAGAGATCATGCACCACTAGATGCCAATATCCATGGCTAGTCCGTCCATTTCAATGTGCTTCTTACATTTGTAGGGTACATATTGAGAGCTTCCATCAAAGCTGTAGTTTTTGTCACTTATTATCTGTAGATTTTGTTAAATAGCATTATATCCTATCAATAGACATCAGCTATCACATCATGCCACTATGTAGGTGACAAAAAAAGGCTGGGGACAAAGGAAGCTATAAAATAAGAAAAGTAAATCTATAAGCAGGATCCATGAAAGGCACCCTGAAAAAATGACCGTATGAGCCTGTGCAGGCAATATATATTGGAGATGTCAAGATTCAGCATAGAAATGGGAATATTAGATGGTCAGAAAGAAAAGAAGCATAAACATTTTTTTTTAAGGATTTTATTTATTTGAGAGAACAAGCAGAGGGGAGAGGCAGAGAGAAAGGGAGAAGCAGAAGCAGGCTCCTCGCTGAGTGGGGAGCTGGACCAGGACTCGATCCCAGGGATCAGGAATCATGACCTGAGCTGAAGGCAGACGCTCAACCGACTGAGCCACGCAGGCACCACCAACATTTTTGATCATAAAAATTCTTGTGAAACATTAGGATCTTTTTGATATGTTCTTCTTCTTCTCTAATATATCTTAGATCAAGACAAAGAAAGTCTCTGAAAATGGAAAGGTTAATGGGTAAGATCCTTTTAAAAGGAATAAGGAAAATCATTTTACTTACTAAAGAAAAAGGGAGATTTTGGTTTTAAAATAAATGACATTCAACCTTTAACAGATATATCTGCTCAACATTTTTATAATACTTTCCTCACCCCCCAACAAAGGATATGAAAGTTAGTAGCTATTTCTACTATCTTAATTAAGACTCACTAATGAAGGGAGGCAAGGGAAAAAAAAGTATCTGCAGGTAACAATCTGATAGATCTACCTGCTTTATAGTGGGCAAGCATGTCATTAGGAAAATGGAATAGAGTACAAGAAAAGACTGCTTGTCTCCTTCCACTCAACAATATTTACCTATGCTGCTGATAAAGATAGTACATGAAAGAAAGAAATGCATTAGTGTGCTCTAGTCTTGTTGTTCACAGCTGTCCCAGGAGATACACATATACACAATACAGGCCACTTATTTTTCTCTTATGAAACCTTTCAAAGTAGGTGGATCATCCAAAAAAAGTATGATAAAAATTTGCAAGGAATTTAGATGTGTTTCTCACTAATCATTTGAGTCATTCTCCTTCTTGAAAATACTTTTGATTACCACTTTACACAAAACAGTTCCTTGGTATTAGTAAATGAATGTAGGGACTTGGTGCCCATTTCTGAGCATTAGTTGGATCT